AACTCTCTTCTCTCCGACTTCATCCCAATGAACAGAGGACCTATATCTTCTACCATAGAGAGCTTCGTACGGTGCCATCCTGATAGTTGTTTGGAAGCTGTTATTATATGCGAATTCTACTAGGGGTATGTATGACTCCCAACTACCCCCTAAATCCAAAACACTTGCTCTTAGCATGTCTTCCAAAGTTTGAATGGTCCTTTCAAATTGACCATCGGACTGAGGGTGATATGCTGTACTAAAGTTCAGCTTCGTTCTCATAGTTCCTTGTAGACTTTTCCAAAATTTGGACGTGAACCTTGGGTCTCTGTCAGATACAATGGACACAGGTACGCTGTGTAATCTATCAACCTCCTTAATGTACAACTGTACCAATTGGTCTAAACTGAATGTCATTTTCACTGGAAAAAAATGAGCTGACTTTGTTAATCGATCCACTATTACCCATACAACGTTGTTTCCTCTTGCTGACTTGAGGAATCTAACCACAAAGTCCATTGTGATATTTTTCCATTTCCATTCGGGTATGTCCAGTGGATTTAACAATCCAGCCAGTCTTTGGTGTTCTGCCTTAACCTGTTGACATACCATGCACTTTTCTACGTACAACCTTATACTTCTTTTCAGATTTCTCCACCAAAGTGTATCTCGGAGGTCTCGATACATTTTCGTACCATCGGGACGTGCGGTGTACGAAGTGGAATGGGCCTCTTTCAATATCTCGTTTTTCAAGGCTTCATCCTTAGGCACACAAATTCTCCCCTTAAACATCAGTGCCTGATCCGAAGCTATTCCAAAATCCTTTCTCTTATCAGTACCAATTTCATTCTTGATCTTCAACAAGAATGGGTTATTACCTTCTGTCTCTATAATTCGATCTCTAAGAGGAGGTCGAATTATCAAAGCTGCTAGACGAGCAATGACTTGTCCTGGTATGGTAACCACATCGATCTGCAACTTTTCTAAGTCCTTGACTAACTCCATTTGAAAAGTGGGTAGTGACGCCAACTGTCCCATTGATTTTCTACTTAAGGCGTCGGCCACAACTTTAGCCTTACCTGGATGGTAATGGATAGTGCAATCATAATCATTCACCAATTCCAACCATCTTCTTTGTCGCATATTCAATTCCTTCTGTGTGAATAAATATTTGAGACTCTTGTGATCTGTGTAGATATCGCACTTCCCTCCATACAAGTAGTGTCGCCATATCTTCAAGGCGTGTACTGCCGCCGCAAGTTCTAAATCATGTGTCGGGTAGTTCTGCTCATGTTTCTTTAATTGTCTTGATGCATAGGCTATCACTTTTCTATTCTGTATCAGAACACATCCCAATCCTTGCTTAGATGCATCACTGTATATAACAAACCCTTCCATACCCTCAGGTATTGTTAACACGGGCGATGATATCAACCTCTGTTTAAGTTCTTGGAAACTTTGTTCACATTTATCCGTCCATTGAAATTTTACTCCCTTCTTTGTAAGCCACGTCATTGGTCCAGTTATTTCGGAGAATCCTTTTATGAATCTTCGATAATATCCTGCTAATCCTAGAAAGCTCTGTACCTCGCAAGCATTAGTTGGTGCTTTTCAGTTGGTTACTGTTTCCACTTTCGCTGGATCTACCTCAATCCCTTGGGCAGTGACTATATGTCCAAGAAATCTAACTCGTTCAAGCCAAAACTCACACTTCTTGAATTTGGCATACAGTTTCTCCTTGCGTAATACCTCTAATACTATTCTTAGGCGCTCTTCATGTTACTCCTTACTCTTGGAATATATCAGAATGTCATCAATGAAGAGTATGACAAATTTATCCAAGTACTGATGAAATACACAATTCATCAGGTCCATGAACACTGCAGGTGTATTGGTTAGCCCAAACGACATCACTGTAAACTCGTAGTGTCCATAACGAGTTCTGAAAACTGTCTTGGGTATATCCTTTGACTTTACTTTCAATTGATGGTATCCCGATCGTAAGTCGATCTTGGAAAATACCTTAGCTCCTTTCAATTGATCTAACAGATCCTCGATTCTCGGGGGTGGGTACTTATTATTGATAGTTAATCGATTTAACTCCCTATAATCGATGCACATCCTCATGCTTTCATCCTTTTTCTTCACGAACAACACCAGCGCACCCCATGGAGATACACTTGGATGTATAAAGCCTATATCTAGGAGTTCTTGCAGCTGCTTCTTTAACTCTTGTAGTTCCTTCGGGGCCATTCGGTATGAGGCTTTTGACACTGGTGCCGCTACGAGAATCAGGTCTGTGGTGAATTCCACCTGCCTATCTGGTGGAATACCAGATAGATCTTCTGGAAACACATTTACGAATTTCCGTACTATTGGTACGTCTTCAACCTTTATCGTCTTCTGTTTTCCTCCTGAAATGTTTACTAAATATCTTTGACATGTTTCTTTTCTCAACATCTTCTCAGCTTGTAAAGCCGATACTAGTCGAATAAGGGGTTTCGTCTTCATTCCAAGGAATGAAAATGGTTCTTCTCCTGGTTTCTGAAATGATACCTCCTTTTTCTTACATCGGATGGTGGCGTAATTACAACCCAACCAATCCATGCCTAGTATTACATCAAAATCCTTCATTTCTATCATATATAGGTTCGCTTCCATTGGTTTTCCCTCAACTTCAATACTTACTGATTTGGCTATTCTATCAATACCCAGAGGGTTGCGAAGGAATGCTAACCTCTAATGTACCTTCCGACTTATCACAGGTAATACTAGATTTAGCCACAAAAGTTGTCGATACAAAGGAGTGTGTGGCTCCTGAATCAAACAATACATAAGCAGGCATATTGGCTATCAATAAGGTACTTGCTATGACGTTCATGTTTTCCTCTGCATCTTTCTGAGTCATTGCAAAAACTCGTGCTTTCCCTTTCTGGTTCTGGTCATTGTTATCATCCTTCTTCGGGGTAAATGTGGGGCAATCCTTAAGAATATGCCCTGGCTTGCCACATCTGAAACAGATATTCTTCCCTTGTAAACACACGCCACGATGCGTCTTTCCACACTTAGGACATGGCTCCATAACTGGCACAATGCTCTTGTTGGCATTGGCTCTGCCATTAGCTTTCTTGTCCTGCCACTTGCCCTTTCCCTTGTCCTGGCCATTCTATTTTCTTTTACCCATACTATCATTGTTCGATTGATTGAACAGTTGACTGTATTGCTCGGCGCTAGTCTTCTGGTACTAGATAGCATGAGCTTTTTCCAGCGTTTCACGGTATGAGGTGAAACGATGGGACATAAGTATCATGCTTATATCTGGGTTCAACCCTTGTTAAAACCTCCTGACTTTCTTGTCCTCCGTATCCACCAGATGTGGAGCATACCTTGAAAGTTGGTCAAACTTCATTTCATGCTCAGTCAAGGACATAGTCATTTGTTTGAGTTGGAGAAATTCACTTTCTTTGTGATCCCTCAAAGACTGTGGAAAGTACTTGTCCATTACTTCCTCTTTAAATCGCTTCCAAGTCAATTCCACTTGTTGCTCTAGGGTCCTCGTCCTTGACATCGAGTCCCACCAGTGGCTTGCATCACCGGAGAACATAAACTCAGCACATTGGACCTTCTGGGCGTCCGTACACCCTATTAATCGAAATATTCTCTTCAACTTGCGAAACCACTCCTCGGCTACAAGTGGATCAGCTGCTCCATTGAAGGTAGGGGGCTTGTGTCTTCTAAATTGCTCGGCCACTGAAGGATAGGTTAGAGGAGCATTAGGAGCTAGTGGTAGGGGTTGCGCTTGGTTCGGGTTTTGCCTGCCAAGGTCTTGAACCGTTTGGAGGAGATCTCTTATCAAGTTGGTTGGGTTTGCGTGAACCATTTTCCTTTAGACAAAACGTATGGTTCTTATTAGTTTCATACTTTGAATTCTAACAAAGAAGATAAAGTTTTATTTCTTGACATAAAGGAAGTTGTTACAAGGATTTAAATCTAATCCCTATAAGTTCTACAGATCTTCTTTGGTGGAGCCTCATCTCCAGAGGAGTCTTCCGCCTCAGGTCCGGATTCTATGTCCATCTCAACCTGTGGCTCAGGCTCAGGATCATTCTCTTCTTCAGGCTCTTCTTCTTCATCAAGTTCAATTACAATCTCCAGTTGAGGTTCTAAGTTTTCCCTCCATAGGTCTAGGAGTGATTGGCAATACACTTCAAACTCTAATATATTTGGGTACTCCTCTAGCATTACATTCCTAACCGTGACTCCCATATCTCCCCATTGAGGTGGAAGGGAGTGTATGAGGTTATTTATAGCCTCAATATGTGCTATCTCCATTCCAGCGTTCACCGCTGTCATGCATCTCTCATAGACATCATGTATATGTTCATCAAGTGGACGGAGCAGATCAGTCATGTAATTCTCATAGGACTGAATGGCGATTCTACGGTTCAATGCTCCTCTATATGCCCTAATCGTTCTACGAGTCATATCTGTTGCATTTTCACATATCATACACTTTTTTTTTATACTCTTGGAAAAATGGCTACTATTTTTCTAACTGGCATAGTATATCTTCGAAAATAAGCATAAGTTGTACCATAGCATCGCAAATCATCATAATATAGTCTTTTCATGAAAATATTAACTTTGAACATACCTGGGCCGTAGGATGAGATTGATGGATGGATGCAAGATGCCATCTATGAGAGTGTATTTCACCAAATTAAAGACCATTTGGGAAGAATTAAGCAACTATAGGCCTATGTGTTCATGTGCCAAATGTGAATGTGGAGGTCACAAGAAACGTACTGATCACTATCATACCGAATATGTGATGTCCTTTTTAATGGGATTGAATGACTCCTTTGCTCAAGGTATTTGCACTTGTATCTCAAGAACAGTAGCAAGGAATGTAAACATCAACAATGGTGCACCGAATTTTTATGGCTTTCCATGCTAGAAATGACCCGAAGAAGCCCAATACAAGCTAGACACACAACAAATATCAGAGGAAGGAGAGACCTATGTGCACTTATTATGGTTACAGTGGGCATGTAGTTGACAAGTGTTATGAGCCACATGGTTATCCTCCAGGGTACAAAGGTAAACAGAAAACTGGTCTAAATCAAATGCATCATTCTGGCTATCATGTTGCTGCTGCAAACCAGATATCTGATTCCAATCTAGAGCATATATATGACAATGTAGGGAACTTTGTGCAAACACTAAATCCCACACAATATCAACACTTATTGAATGTGCTGAGTACTCACCTTTCAGCCGCAAAGGGTGACACAAAAGGAGATGGTGAGGGAGATCATGTATCAGGTACCTGTATGTCCATCTCTTATAATTCAATACCTTTGGGTTGTGGACTCTTGAGCTACTGCTCATATTTGTTTCACAAAGTCATCATTTCTGTCAATGAAAGCCATCCAAAATGCTTATGTCACATTTCCTAATCGTCAAAGAATTCCTGTCCTCTACAAGGGTATTAGCTCTAATTTGATTCTCAAGGATATCCTATTTGTGCCCCAACTGAAGTTCAATCTACTATCTGTTAGTTCATTGACAAAGGATTCATCTATAATCATTAAGTTCTTCACTAACTTGTGCATTATTCAGGATCTGTCCAGCTTGAGAATGATTGGAAAGGCTAGAAGAGCGGTAGATCTTTACATATTGGAAGCAGATTTTTCTGATTTTAACATTTGTAACGCTTTTAGTGACATGTCTATTTCTGTTTGCTCAACAATAAATAATGTGACTTCTCACACTTGGCATGACAGACTTGGGCATTTATCTTACCAGAAAATGCAATTGTTAAGAGATTAATTACATCTTCCACATAATGATCACAAAGAAAATAAATTTGTTCCCTGCAACATCTGCCCCTTAGCAAAGCAAAGAAGATTATCATTTGTGTCAAATAACCATCTATCCCAAAATGCATTTGACTTTGTTCATTGCGATACTTGGGGACCATATCATGCCCCAACTCTTGCAGGCCACAGATATTTCCTCACTTTGGTAGATGATTGCACACGGTTCACATGGATATATCTCATGAAGCAAAAATCAGATGTTGAGTTCATTATTCCTAAGGCTTTCAAGATGGTTGAAACACAGTTTCAGAAGGTAATTAAAACCTTTAGATCTGATAATGCACCATAACTAAATTTTGTGGATTTCTTTACTTCAAAGGGAGTTCTACATCAATTTTCATGTGTTGACAGACCTGAGCAAAATTCAATGGTAGAGAGGAAACATCAACACCTCCTAAATGTGGCTAGGTCATTGTATTTTCAGTCATAAGTCCCAATTCAATTCTGGGGAGAGTGTGTCCTTACTGCCACCTTCCTTATAAATCGAACACCCTCTCCCATTTTAAATAATAAAACATCATTCTCTCTTCTTTACGGCCTACCAGTAGATTACATAAATCTGAGAGTTTTTGGGTCCTTGTGTTTTGCTTCAATATTACCCTTTCGTAGGTCCAAGTTTCACCCAAGAGCCAAACCATGTGTGTTTGTCGGCTATCCCCCTGGAGTAAAAGGCTATAAGTTATATGACATATCTTCCAAAACCTTTTTCATTTCCAGAGATGTGGTCTTTCATGAGTACCTTTTTCCTTTTTCTTCCATCCCACATGAAAATGATCTTATTGATCCCTTTCCTAACATTGTTTTACCCAAACCTGAACATGATATTGCTCCACCATCTACATCAGTACATGATAATCAACCCATAATCGTTGATCACAACACACAATCAAGTCCTCAACCTGTTATTCTTAGAAGATCTGGTAGGACCATCAAGCCACCTTCTTACCTTCGAGAATTTCATTGTAATCTCTTGAAAAACTCACCTGAGATGTCAAACTTTGCTATTCCCTATCCTTTACAAAAGTACTTGTCCTATAAATCCTTTTCACCTTCATATTGTAGTTATTTACTGAATGTCTCCTCTGACTTTGAACCACAACATTACCATGAAGCAGTTAAATATAGTTCTTGGAGAGAAGCAATGGTAGCTGAGTAGGCAATGGAATCAAATAACACCGGGTCAGTCGTACCTCTTTCCATAGGAAAACATTCAATTGGGTGTAAGTGGGTATACAAGATCAAATACAAATCTGATGGAAGCATTGATCGACACAAAGCATGGCTTGTTGCTAAGGGATACACACAGCAAGAGGGCTTGGATTTTGTTGAAACTTTTTCTCCAGTGGCAAAGCTTGTTACTGTGAAAATTCTTCTGGCAATTGCTGCTATCAATCAATGGCACATTACTCAACTGGATGTAAATAATGCCTTTTTGAATGGGGATTTATTTGAGGAAATATATATGGATCTTCCTCTAGGTTACAACAAACAGTTAGCAACTGATGCACGAAGAGACAGCAAGCTAGTGTGTAGGCTGCACAAGTCTATGTACGGTCTTAAGCAGGCTTCGAAGCAGTGGCTTTCAAAATTTTCTTGTGCCCTCATCTCACATGGTTACACACAATCTAGATTGAATTATTCTCTTTTCATTAAGGGTTCTGGTAAGACTTTTGTGGCCCTTTTAGTGTATGTCGATGATATAATAATCAATGGTTCAGATAGTGCACCCATCAAGTCTCTTAAAATATTCCCACACAGTCAATTTAAACTAAAGGATCTTGGTCAATTGAAGTATTTCCTTGGACTGGAGATTGCTCGTTCACAGAAAGGGATTTTTCTTTCTCAATGCCAATATACTATTCAATTATTGGAGGATACCGGTTTTTTGGCCTGTAAGCCAGCCTTACTGCCCATGGATCCCAAGGCTCGCTTGTGTTCATTTGAAGGAGAACCTCTAGTTGATGCTTCATCATATCGAAGACTAATAGGCAGGTTGCTCTATTTGACTATCTCCAGACTGGACATCACATTTGCAACACACAAATTGAGTCAGTTTGTCTCTAAACCTAGGCAACCTCATCTCACTGCAGCTCATTACTTGCTAAAATACCTCAAATAAACTCTTGGACAAGGTCTTTTCTTTTCGGCCACCTCCACTTTTCAACTTCGAGCTTTTGTTGATGCTGATTGGGGGTCTTGTCTCGACACAAGGAAGTCCATCATTGGCTTTTGTGTATTCCTTGGTGATTCTTTGGTGTCTTGGAAAGCAAAGAAACAAAATACTCTATCACGCTCTTTAGCTGAAGCAGAATATAGAGCATTGGCAGCCACTACTAGTGAGCTCATTTGGATTCATCAATTGCTACTTGATCTCCAGATTTCTCCTCCAGCTCCTGCTCTCATATTTTGTGACAACCAGGCTGTCATACACATTGCCACCAATCCTATTTCCACGAAAGAACCAAGCATATAGAAATAGATTGTCATTTCATTCATAATAAACTCACAGATGGCTTTGTCAAACTACTTCTGTCCGAAGCCAACACCAATTGGCACACATTTTTACTAAGCCTTTGCTAGCCAATCTTCTTTTTCCTTTGATGTCCAAGATGGCCATTATTAATCCTCATAGTCCATCTTGAGGGGGCGTAACAGAATACAAGTAGCTGGAAGCTTGAAGAAACTACTAGATTCAGCCAGGGAGCAACAAACGGATTCAGCTATTAGTTAGTTGTAAATATACACGTGTCACAATTGTATTGGTTATGCAATACACCTTATGCGTCTTTCGATAGAACATTAACAAGTCGCAAGCTTCCAAACTCCTCCGTCATCGTGAAAATGCAAAGATTTCAACAACATTTTATGAGATCCTTGTCTTTTATCAACTTTTACTAAAAACCTAATTTATATTTAAATCAAACCTGGACGAAGCTGTTGGCTGTGTCAGCCGTTATTAGTTACGCGTGGAAACCTCAATGCACCATGCAAAACTCAAAACAGCCACCTGCCAAATTCATTGCACATTTTCATGAGCCACGTACTCGGCATGCAACCCCTATGATTCCATATATAGATTTCCATATACTAAACAAGGTTAACGTCTCATAATGGCGAGATTCATAGGCTTTGCAGTCATCTTCTTAGTGTTGGTTTCTTTCCTATTTTGAGGGAGAAATTTTTGGTATCATGAGAGAATTTTTGATATCAAATAAAGTGGTCCATAAATTCTGCCAATTTTATCAATAACTGCACAATTATTGGTATTGAATAAGGTAGACTCAATAATGGTACAACTTATATATGGAACACGGATTTGGATCGCTGATGCCATCTATTCCATTCATATTTCTTACACCATTGCCAAGGAATTGAGAAGGCATTATAAACACTCCAATCCAAGACATAAAGCCGCATACTCGAACTACACAGTTGACATCAATGGCTGGGGGTATATTTTTGGTCCATTTAATTTCCACAATTGATCTATGTGCTGTTTAAATTTTATATGGCATGATTAGATCGTAAGTATACAGTCTAATAGTTGGTATCAGAGCATGAAATTACCTCTGCCTTGGTGTTTTACCATCGATCTGCAAAATCTGTCTTCTCTGGCAAAATTTATTTTTTCTAAAATAATTTCAAATCACTCCATAAAATCGAATTTATAGCCTTGTGTGTTTTTTAAACTTGAGTTTTTAATGGAAGAAAGTTTTAATATGGAGTTGGTTAGAACCGGGTTGATTTCAACCCGCAGGAGGAAGAAGATGATTGTAAACCTTCACGCAGCAAAGGATTTTGTTTACATTCATTGGTTATGGAGCCCATTTACAAAATATTAAATGGTTGATGGTTGGGCCAATTAAAATTTCTTATGTATCATATCAGGAAATGTTTAGTTTATGTATACATGATCTAGCACGTTAGTATTTTATACATTTTTCTGACATCACAAATTGATGTATTTTCATGTGTTGATGAAACCATCCAATAAGTTTAATAAACCATTGGCATGAGTGTCAAAGTGATATACATGTTGGTGTTTATATTCTAGCTATAGTTAAAATTGAATGATTTAAGAAGAATTTCAAATTGGCATTCATTTCGGTGTTGTAATTAAAGGAAGTGTGATATTAGCCTTATTTATTAGTTACAGACTCTAATTGAGAGATGATAGGTAGCAGTAATTCTTAAATTATTTTATATGTTATGTAGTATATAAACATATTTGTAGTATATTAGGGAATGTTTTTCGCTTTAATGGGTAATTATGATTTTTTCCCATTAATTATTGGTCCAATTTTACATTCTTGGGCTGCTTAATGGTCAAAAAATTGCTTAAAAAAAAAAAAGGTTTCATAATCTGACATTGTGATATATTTGTGTTTAGCATTCTTATTTTTGAATACTATGTGTTGTAATCATTTAATTTCAATAAATATAATATGATATTTCTTAATTTATCCACAGGAATTAAGAAAGAGAACATGATTTGGTAGTCTTATGGTAAAGTTAAATAGATCCAATTGAATTAGAACTTTGGCCCACATGCAAGTTTTATGTCACTGGATTCATAATTTTGAAACATGATTTACATTGGTAAAACATGATATGTATTCATTTGTCTCAGATTTTATGCATGTTTGATTTTTATGCAGTCATGCAATCTACGAATTTCTCTGATATTAAGTGTGAAATTCCTAAACTGAAAGGGGACAACTATAAAGTGTGAAAGGAGAGAATTCTCCTTCATTTGGGGTGCATGGATATCGACTATTCTATAAGGAAAGACAAGCTGAATAATACTGAGACCAACACTCTAGAAGAAAAGGCTCTTTATGAACAGTGAGCGCGGTCTAATCGCCTTAGCATGATGTTCATACAGACCAAAATCTCTGCTGGTATTCGAGGTTCTGTGGATAAGCATGATGATGTCAAAGCATTACTAAAGGCTATTGATGAGCAGTTTATAACTTCAGACAAAGCATTTGCTAGCACCCTGATAATGAAATTTTCATCCTTTAGGCTCGACAGTGTAAGAGGTGTGTGTGAGCACATCATGCAAATGAGGGACATTGCAGCTCAACTGAAAACTCTGGAGGTTGATATATCTGATTCCTTCTTGGTGCACTACATATTGAATACTCTTCCGCAGCAATATGGACTCTTCAAAATCTCTTATAACACGCATAAAAACAAATGGTCAATCAATAAACTTCTGACCATGTGTGTTCAAGAGGAAGGAAGGTTGGCTATGGAAATGGGTGAAAGTGCACTATTGGCAACACGTGAGAAGGATCGAAACCAAGGGAAAAATCATAACCAAGCTAGCAAAAGGGGAAAGGTAAAATACCACCCCAAGGTGAAATCAAAAAGGAAAATGAGTGTTTCTTTTGTAAAAAAAAGGGGCACATGAAAAAAGATTGTACCAAATTTCAGAAATGGCTTGAGATGAAAGGTAATTCAATCTTTCTTGTTTGTTATGAATCTAATATGGTTGATGTTAATCATAATACATGGTGGGTTCACTCTGGTGCTACAATCCATATTTCAAATACCTTGCAGGGTATGTGAAATCTAAGGAAGCTAGTGGGAAGTGAATAGAGCATCTTATCAGGAAACAAAATGGGTTCACATGTGGAGGCTATTGGACCATGCAGTTTAGTTTTAAATAATGGCTATATTTTAGAATTGGAAAAGACTACTTATGTTCCAAGTTTTTCTAGAAATTTAATTTCGATTTCAAGACTTGTACCTTTGAGATATTCCTTTAATTTTTCAGGCACATCTTTAAATTTATTTTATAAATCTGATCTTATTGGGAATGATAATTTATCTAATGGTCTTTTCTCTATTAATTTACAATGTAGTACTGATAATAATGTTATGCATGTTCACACTGGTATGAAACGATGTGTTGTGAATGAAGATTCTTCTACATTGTGGCACCGGAGATTGGGACACATCTCCATAGAAAGGATTAAGAGATTGGTGAATGATGGAGTACTTAGTACTTTGGATTTGACTGATTTTGACACTTGTGTGGACTGCATTAAGGGAAAGCAAACCAACAAGTCCAAGAAAGGTGCTAAGAAGAGTACAGACATGTTAGAAATCATACATTCAGATATTTGTAGTCCAGACATGGACTCGTAT